TTCTGGGTTCCGTTGCTAGTCACCAGCGTTGCTTATAATGCTTGTGACTTAAGACAATGTCGAGGCAATCCGCACACGGTGAACATATGATAATAAGAGACTGATCATATATATTCACTCGAGGTCTATTGGAAGTAATTTTGACATTTATCTTATGTATAACACTCCAAATGTTAAGAAAAATCGCCTTATTGGTATGACTAATGCGGTTTATAAAATAGAGGAATCGTAGTAAGCGGTGGAATTTAAGATGAGCTTTTTATTGCCGTATAGGACTTGTGAGCTGGTTGCAACTGGATCATAATATTATTATTTATACCGAGATTCGAATGAAGTACTTTCCTCTCCAAACTACCAAAACTTTATTAACTAAGCTACTGTGTCTAGATAACTATTTATACATTAAGTTTGATGTCATTGTTAGAAAGCGTTTAAATTATTCCCACTGTTGGCATTTTCGATTGAATTTGAAGTAGTCTTTATTAGTATATGTTTATTCTTTGTGGATCCCTTTGATGTATTCACTTTTTCTAAGTCTTTATAGAATAGATGGATTATTAATAGTAGTGGAATCCGGTAAATCAAAGGATAACACACGGAATGTTTTACGTAAAAATTATTATATTTGAATTCTGGTGTAAACATGAACATTGTGATCGAGACACACCCAGCTAGTGGAACCTACACACGATGGGAATAGGATCCTGTATCCTAAATATAGCCACAGTTCTTCTATTTTATAGAAAAGCTCGGAAAAAAACAAGCGTGTACAGAGAGTCAGCACATGATGTACATATCCCAACAAGGACTAATCAAAATTCAATTAAGAATATTAACATAGACATTACTACTGTTATTGCCATTCTACATCAGATTATAAAATAATATAATGTAGTCATTTTGTGTCAAGTTCCTACGCAATTTTTCGTTACATGACTTTGGCTACTGAAACACCTAGCACACTAAACTCTTGGTCAACTGTTTCTTTTCAGCTTATAGTTCCAGAGAATCATATATATATATATATATATATATATATATATATATATATATATATATATATATATTATAATATATATATATATATATATATATATATATATATATATATATGGCCTCATATAAGATATCCAATCCCAGCTAACATTAAAACCCTTTAATGAGTATAATACAGTAGTATGATCCCAGAGATCTATGACCTTAGATTTTAGTCAACTTCTATTTTCTACTTCCCTCAATGATTTCCATGGATATTTTAGTTTTATAATATACAACTAATAAATTCCACATGATAAACTCAATAAGTAATGAAAGAGAAAAATTATAAAAAATTATGAATGTTCTTTATATATATATATATATTTTATCATTTGAGTATCTAAGTAAACCGTAATCGGTAAATTCAATGACTGAAACATAAAAATACAAAAAAATTTTTTTATAAAAAAAGCGCTCATATTGAATTCATTCAAGTGTATTCACATCATGTTTATGTATAGTTTCCATGTGAAATATTAGCCTAATACATATTGAAATTGTTTCCATAAAAACTACTCTTAACTATATATATACTTTAATGTATTTAATTCATATTGTTTAATAATTCATTATAAGCCTATATTTCGTATAGTTGGGAATAGTTGGGGAAAAAATTAAAACAAACATAATTGGTTGTTGTTGGTGTTGTTGTTTGTTTGTTTGTTTGTTTGAATGAAGGAATGAATGAATGAATGCATATGTATAAGTAAAGGTAAATGAATGAATATAAAGGTAAATTTATTCGATTCATCGGAAGTATTAAATAAATTTTTTTTAAAAATATTGAATAGTTTTCTTCTTTTTCTTCTTTTTCTTTTTATAAAAAAGCATCACATTGATATCAAATTCGGTGTTTTATGTTGTTTATTGTTTTTCTTTTTAAAAGAAAGAGAAAAAAAAGGCGGAAAAGATAATGGTTAATGGATAGGAAATTTGGAATAAATTTATTTTTTTTCATATAATTAAATATTGTCACCGTTGTAAACAATGTAGATTGATTTATTTAAATAGTTTTAGCATTGAGTTAAAATTCCGTATCTTATCATTTCTGTTCGTGTTTATGTCACTTTACAATATGATCTGTCTGAGCTGATGATATGAGCGAACTATGTATTCGATCATCATTATCTCCGAAAGACTTTTGATATTTAGTGATAATGCCATGTTAGTAATGCAGAGATTCAACAGTGTGTGTGTGTGTGTTCAGCGACAGTGACGATAATGCAATTGATGTCATCGACGTTCATGTTAAAGATCTTCATAACACTTTGTAATAACTATAATCAACTGCTTAGTAATAATTAATATGTCTGAAATAAAAATGTTGTCTACAGTGAAATGAATAATGACCATTGAATATCAACACAGTGATTTTAATGATTAAGCGTTCACAATGAGTTCTGATGATTGTTGGTTCAATCTGTAGTAGGTTAGTGAATTTGTATTGGTATTGGCAGACCACAACAAGAAGATGTGAAGGTGGGGAGATAGAGAATGAGAGTTTTTAAAAAAATACTAGCAGAAGCAGATCAGTTAAGAAAGGATCTTTTCAGTTAAACAGGTTCTTCTCATTTATATGAAAAACATAGAAGAAAGTTACAACACGATCGCTACTGGCTTCTAGTCCGAGTAACGTCTCGTAACGTCTCAAGACACTAAGTTGCACTATCTCTAGGATCAAAACCATGGAGTTGTGAAGGATAGATAGATACCAGTGCTGTACACTTTTCCCTTATACCATGACGCCATGTCATACACCGACGATCTAATCATTTTTCTAACCAGTCCCAGTGTAGTTAAATAAATTCACTATATTATATTCAGTGAGCTGATGTTCGCAACAGTTATCCAAGTCATAGGAGTCGTCGTTTCATGACAGTGGCACCAATTGCATTATCGTCACTGTCACTGAACACACACATGCAGTCGAATCTCTGCATTACTGATATGCATTACCACTGAATGTTAACAGTCCTTCGTAGACAATGATGATCGATTACAGAGTTGATTCACATCCTCCGCTCGGGGTAGTCGGATTTCACCAACACGCAACAGAACTGATCTCAGTGATGAACTGTACACCCAACCTCATGTAGACAGATGGACCTCACGAAGGCTAAAAACTGGCTCAGGCTTACACAAGTCACTGTGTTCCGGATCAATATAAGCTGTTCTGGCTTTCACTAGGCGTAGATTAATCTCATCACACACTCCACGACCATCACTTACAGACCGACCAAAATACATGGACTACTCAACCACTTCTAACTGCTCACCAACAAGGGCGATCTTAGGCACATACCTCTTCCAGTCTTGCTAGCGTACTGTGCTCTGAGAATGTGCAAGCACATGCCACATCCTCAGATACTGATGGTCAACTGATTAAATGCTAATCGCTTTGCTCGGGAATCATCGCACAATAAAACAACTTCATCCACATACTCAAAATCGAAAAGTCTCCATTTAACAGATGCATACCACCACTTACTACGTCTATCTGAGCTGTTTCCTGAATGTTATCAATTGTATATTTGAAGAGGAACAGAGGGATTGGATAACCCTGTCTAGACCCACTGCTCGAATGGAACAGTGAACATTCGCGCTTGCACATCCTTACTATGTCTGGAGTGTTTGTTTACAGGGACTTCTACATGTTAACAAAACGTCCCAGACACACCCTTGTTCTACAGACAATCACAGAGAACGGTCCTGTTAAACAAATCGAATGCGGTCCTGACATCAAGACACACAACCGATGTTGGCCTGTGAAGCATGACAGGAGTCAATAGTTTGTATGCAACTGCAAGTAGACCTATCCATTCATAGCTGTCAGCCATCATGGAGGGTGTTATTGATTAGTGTTCCATCAGCTTCATAGATTACTTCACTCACACTAGACATCGTGCGGCCATTGCTTCGGATGAGTCGAAAGGTAGTCTACCAGTTATCAGACGCAGATGCGATTTCTAACTCCCTAACACGATCTAACCATCAGGGTTCTCGATGCTGATGTTAACTCTGTACAATTTCATTTCGTAAGAATCTACGTATATGATTAAACTCGTGATTGATAAGCGTAGATCGACTTGTTTCAAGAAAATTTAAGGAGAGTGAAGAAATTCAGTGTTTATAGTTGGGACGTTTCACGAAGCCACAGATAACTTCACTCTCCATTTTTACGACATCGTGTAAATGTAGTCAGTTGTCATCTATAATTCTCAGTGTGTTGATATCTAGCGTTGAATATACCTCGGTTTGTTTGCAATGGAATTCACCGCTATGAAATGATAAAATATCAAATATATATCTATCTAACTGTGAACTAGTTATTTTCATATTTACCTTTGTGACATTCACTCATAGAAATTATCAGATAAATGTAACAGGCTTTTTATAAATCATTTCTATATTAAGTTCATCAGCTATATATCAATCCCTCATTTATAATTAACTAAACTCTGAATTGAAATTTAGCCATGATTTTTTATTCTATTCAGGTTGTTTTTTAAACTATAGTTTGTGTCATCTTTTTTTAAATGACCTGAAATTCAATTTACTCTAGTAGAATATAAACAATATTATTCTACTAGAGTAAATAACGTTGACCTTTATGATTATTCTTAATTTCTAATGTATCCTGTCCTTAAAAGGGAAACTTAAACTTTTTAGTGACTTTATATTTACAAAAAAAGAATCAAAAATCCAATATCGACGCAATATCCTTTTGATATTTTGATAAGATGAAATATTTCCCTGAACTTACCAAGTTTTCATCAGTATATCTCGCTAATTGTGTATGGAATACACGGGTTTTGTTCATAACAATATGATCGAAAAATTTCGTTTGAATTATTTGCCTACCTTTACAATATATCAGTAGTATATATTTTATAAAATCAAAAAAATTACTATATTTAAATATTGTGACCATTGATCAATATGTATACTGCTTTTTTCTTTAGATGGCAAGACCATTACAAGTAAAAACTGCTGATATGGAACGTCGTACAGGTCCGTGGTTTACTCATCTGTTGTACTTATTCATATACATGTTGTTATTTGATTATAAAAAACTTACGTTGTACATTGATTGTCTGTTTGTATATATTCTGTAATAATAATTGATATGAATGTTGTTTATTGTCGTAATTTTAATTTACTTTCTATCAAAAACAAACAAACATAATAAACGTTAAATGTTGTATTGTGTCGTATACATCATCGTTATATAAGCTTTAATAAGTGAAAATGTTTATTGTTATAATTTACTGTTAGCCTGAATTTTGTCAGACTTAAACGATGATAATAGTGAGTTATTTTCACAGATTCGGTTAGGTCTATAAAAAAATATGTAGACATAAACTAACTACTTTATGGATACCAGAGCATATCAATAAAGTCATGATAAATGTGTCATTGATTCCAAGTGAATTTATTTTCACCACGGACTGATATGTAATTGAGACTCGTTGATAGCCAAGAAGAAGTGAACATAGCTATTTCAAAACTATTTGGGTCTTCTTGGGTCTATTCGGGTATAACAGTATATATGGATGGTGATAGTTGAGTATTAACAAATATAATATCATGAATTCATTTAAAATGAGAACATCAGCCATTGGATATCAATGCAAAATCTAGCTCTTTACAAAACTTAACATTTCTTAGTCTGATACAGTATGAATTTATCAATATGAGTTGTTGAAATTTCTTTACATTCAGACGAAAAGCTCACCTAGTTGATCGTGATTTTTTTCAAAATAGTTATACAATTTTTTTCCAGATCTAGGCTAAAAGTGGAATTCAAGACTCATACTTCGTTTTTATATGGAACTCGACAGCTCTTCATGCCAACTTACTGGTATGATGATCTTACTATAATTTGCGAATAATGCCGATGGTCTTAAAAACCAACATGTTATTCAACAAACTTCTGAGTCTCCAGGTATCCACTAAATCTTTCTGCGGGTATAAACCTGTTACGTTGGATCCTTCGTACGGACTGTGTGGCTTACACCAATTAATCGTTTCATACTAGGACAAAACAACTGGGCATTGCTCTTCATCTTATAGATTTGTCTAGCTTTAATCAGTTTATGGTATAAATTACTATTAATTGTAAATCACTTAACTGCTTCACTTTAAACTATGCATCATATCTGATATTCTGCTTTGTTTTTATAATTTATATGTTTGTGGTAAGAATCTGTAACACTGGAAAAATTATTAAAAGAAATTTTCAAAATCGACAAACCATTATTATTTTAATAGTTGAGATCATGAGCCAATTAAAGCTAGACCACCATGGAAAGCCCAGAAGCACTGGACGGCCGTTTTGTCCTATTGTAGGACTCCACAGCAATGCTCATCCACGATCCCGCCGAGGACCTATCAGTCTCTTGAGCGAACGCTTAACCTCTAGACCACTGAACCATTTACTTATTATTACTTGACTACATCTCTAAAAAAATTGCAATTTCTTTCATGATCAGATTCCATATAGGTCAGATATATAATTAAAACCTTGCTCTAGTACTGTGCTGTACATATATAAACTGTAAAAACGTTTCGAGTTTCTAATCATAAATATAGATGAATGGACATACAAAAATATTTTCAAAAATATAGAAGCTACTAGTCAATTTTGTAAGTAACATAATTAGGTTTTCATAAGTTAAGCTCATGATAGAATTACAGACTGGAGAGAATTTTCTGTAGAATAAAATTGATTACAGGTCAATCTTTCAATAGAATAAAACCTCATAAGAAACGTAATAATTTTTTAGATCATTCGAATTCGGATCCATCTGTTTATTACAACTAATGCAAATATTTATTTGTCTAGAAGGTGGTTTGAGGCAACCAATAGATAACCCAATGTAACGTAGGTTTGACGTTAAAGCTCATTTAGAATGGTAGAAGGCTCTTTACTCCATAAGAAACCCGAAATTAATTATTTTAGTGATATAATCGGAATCATTTTCACAGGAGCATAATGGGTAACGATTGTCCTGCTGTAAGAAGTGAATTTTTTGAGCTAACCGATAAATTAGCACGAAACCTTTGTCTAGGGTTCGCCATCAACTTCTTGTAGTAGTTTAGCATCAAATAAACGTTCACTGACATTTTGAGTCAGTTAATCAATTGGATAAATTTCAAAACTGATTTTATGAGATTCAGTAAGGAACAAGGATTAGATGATCTTACACTGAATACTTTTCATGGATAGAAAATTCTGACACTCCTTAATATATCTATTCTATACCAAGTTTACAAAGCTTTAAATATGAAGCTGAGTGCTTATGAATATCTGATAAATAATAGTTTTGTGTTTAAATAAATATTCACAACTGATTATATTATTTTATTTGGTTATAAGTTATGCATGAAGTTTCGATTTTACCACTCATAGAATTAGTAGAAAAAGTGTACTTTCACTAAGATATATTTTAGTGACTAGGAGCTTGATTTTATGAACAGTTAGCAAGATGAATCTAAAGTATTGAGTTGAAATTGATATCCACGCTGAGGCTCGAACATGAGACACTTGGTTTCAGAATCTGAACTTTTCAAGTCAATGGTTAAGGCGGGTTCGAATACTTCAGTGATAACGAAATATAATTTCATGTATTTACATTCGAATTAAGCTCTGTTTAAAAGTTCCTTAATATTGTCCCCACTCTACCAAACTTGAAGTAAATAGATTATTTTTCGAACCTGTGATCAAGTCTTTGGAAGGTATGCTTTTTAGCTCCTAAAAAGAACTACTCAAGCATATAAAGTCAGGTTACAAAATCTTCTCTTAATCCTATAGCAGTACGCTCAAGATATATCGAATACATATAATTATCTCTCTAACTATTAGGGTTGACTAATCCAGTTAATATCCTTCTTTTAAACATGTGACTTAATTTGGTTTTAATTTTGTTGATTGTTATATTTAATTTAGCCCATTAAATGATTTATTTACTATTCATGTAAACTGACATAATGAAACGATGGATTGGATCATCTAAATGTCGAGATACATATGATTTCTTTAGTTTCTATAGGGAAATTAAGCTGTTTTATGAAACAAGTTAGTACACTACATTTACAAGAGTTTGATGATTATCTCATATGAAGAGATAAGTTGTAGTTATGTTTACTTGATAAGGCTTTTTATAACCTATAACAAAATAAATTGCTTAAAATATCCAACAATGAACCCTTACTCAACGATCTAAGTGTTTCATATTTGTTAAGAAATATGATACTCTTCCACTAGATTGGAGATGAACCCTTCTAAGTAGTCTGGAAATCAAGCATAATATGTGTTATTGTTATCTTCTAGTTTTTATTAGACCTCCTTTATTTATTTTTATTTAAACACATAAACATTGGTAGAAGAAGGCCACATAAATCATTCGATTTGTGTGAAGGCTAGGATTACTGCCTGGGTGCCCAAACCGGATCAGGTAGTTTTCTAAGGGGGCCATGCCCTGAGCCTTAGACCTAAGTGTCTAATTCACAAAGCAGTGGAGCAACGACAGTAGATGTAGTCCCATGGTAGCCGGTGACCAACAATTGGTTCATGCGCTATTTATTCATTCAGGATCCTGAAGCCCATTTGCACCATTGGTTTGGAAGCAAGATTTTCCAATTCCTGTACGTGGATACTCTGTATCCACCATTCTGGTTAAAGCACCGGAAATTCGCTTTTCTTCCTCTCGATTTCGTAAACAACACACTCGCCACGAGATTGCAAAGATTAGGACTTCCCTGACAGTGGTTGTATGCCTGTGGCCATGTGAGAGCATGTGAAGAGAAAGATCTGACTCTCCCCACTCTCGGCCATACTAGGGCATTTAGAGGTATTAGACCTTCTAGTTGATGTTCATTTATAAGTGAACTGAAAGAAAAAAACAACATTCATTTTGTATTACATACTAATAACATCATGATTTTATTAGGGTATCAAATTGATTTTTCATCTTAAACGGTATACTTTTCCAGTAAACGTTTTATTTTTACTTTTTTCCATTTAATTCATGACCTTTCAGTTCACTAAATGACAGATAACAATCTGCTAATGATTTGAGTGACAAACAAAACAGTATTCTTAAAATAGTCTACAATAATCAATTGTTGCCTTAATTAAATCAATAACTTAGTATCGCAGATATATATATATATATATATATATATATATATATATATATATATATATTATTGACAAAATGTGGACACAACGTTAACTTTTTAACCCAAGTCAGTTAGTATAGATGCTTATAGGCAGGGTGAAACTGTGAACACATATTCTCCAAACTCTAACTTGATAAAAATTCAATGCTTTACTACTCAGGTTTTATAGACTTACAGACACGTATATGTATCCTGGTGGAGATTTTGTATATTGTAGTCCTATATATATATATATTGATATGCTTATATTAAACTCTATTTGGATTGGTTAAAAAGATTGTCTACGATGGAAATATTCTCTTCTATCCCCTTTTTCTTTAATGAATGAGTATATAGAAATAGGATTCAAAAAAGGGAATAACTCTTTCTCTTAATTCTCTTCTCAAGCATTTATTGATGAGTCTGTATTAAGCCTAGATCATTCGTCTATTAATCTGTTTAGATGAAATGGGCTCAAATAGGAGAATATATATATGTGGGCTGACAGTCTGTTTATCTACATTCATCTCTATTTTAATATCAATAAAATAGGCAATTGGTCTGTTTTGATATATAATAAATATAAATATCCCCACGGGAAGATAAGACTCATTGAGTTAGAAGGCGTGAGAGAAGAAAGAGACAGTAAATCAATAAACAATTCTCCCTCTCATATAAACATCTGTGTTATTTTAATAATAGTAATGATAATATAAGTATTCCATTTTCTATTGTATCAAACTAAATTGATTAGAGTATCTTAATACCCTAATTTGTATATACATATATATACATAAATTATTCATATTTGTACAGATGAACTCAATCAAACAAGATTTAACCCAGGA